GTAGGGTTATAGTTTGACATACTCATGATTGATTTAAGGAGTTGGAGTGCCCTCCAGAGGATTTGTCCACGCTAAGGCAGATGACTCCATTTGGGGTTCGTAAAAGGTTAGATATTATAAACCTGTGTCCAATATTATTCAGGTCATGTGATAAGGTGGTGTTAGATTGACGTATAAGTGGGAATGCTCTAACCCAATAGAAATATTGTTCCTAAGCTGAGTCTGGCCCTAAGTCTAAAGTGTCAGATCAGGATTGGATCGGTTAGGCTATTGAATTCTTGATTAGGACGTTTGATGTTGACATAACCAAAGCTTGGATCAGGTTTGTGCTAGCCATAAGAGTTGTTAATCAGCTTAAGTTGAGAGGTGTAATAGTTGTTCATTTCGAGGGCTAACACTGTTCAAGCTATGCGCCATTGGGGTAGGGTTGACGGATTTAAAGGACGAGGATTGTGTCGTCTAAGCAGAAGATGTCATGATTGGGTCTAAGGGGTCTGATTATTCTAAAGCTACGATCAATTGGAAGTACTTCATTAAGACAATGTTAAGATAGGGCACCTTAGTTCTAGAGTTGCAAGAGTTTAAGTGTAAGGTGTTTCAATCATGAGCCTTGAGGTTGGAGGGTGATGAGCTCATAGGGCCAGATAAATTAAGGGAATGGTTGGGTTAATAGTGACATAGCTGTTAGATTCGTGGGGATAAGTAGGCTATTGGTTCACCTGAGGCTTTAGAGTTTCAGTAAAGTGCGACCCAGTTAATGGATCACTAAGGGGTGTTGTTAATGCAGTAAGATGAGAACAACGGACATCTGAGGGTGGGAGAATTCTTTCAGTTGAGGTCTGGTTTTAACTCGTGACTAGGGGTTGTTATAGTGTACTGTACGAGGATGGGATGAATTTATGTCGTACTTATGTCAAATGGAGGTTTATAAAATATGATGAGGGGTGGAGGTGATGGATGTACACCACAATTAATCTCGTGTGGGGTAGATTTTATGCCCTGATCAGAAGGGGAGTTGAAAAGGGGTTCTGCTCGACCCAAAGAGGCATGGTGTAGGCTCAGCAGATGCAGTATTTGCCGTTAAGAGGACGTTCAGTTAACCCTCTAAGCCTCAACTTTATTGCTATTTTAAGCCTCCAGTTATTTCAAATGGCCTTGAGCTGGTTAAAGCTGTTGAAACTTTCACTTGTCGAAATGTGTTAAGGGCAGGGTACTTAAATAAATCAAGACTTGAGCAGTGTTGTCTATGTTGACAAGAGTTGTCACAATACTTTTACAGATTGAAGCTCAACACTAACTGTCAGATTTGGATCTAGAGCACGTAAGAAGGGGGGATTAGGGCTATTGTTGAACTGACCCCACCAAAGTTTGGGTGAAGGTTTTGAAAATTTAAACCCTTGTTATTTTTTAAAAAGTGGAATCAATCACAAAGTTGAAACTAATCTCACTTTTGCCACTTTAATTCAAATTGTCAAAATCTCGGGGGGCGGGTATTTTTTAAAAATTCATAAGGGGGGTCATCGTCGATTTGTAAAAACCAGGGGGGTGCTCAACTCATCCCTTGAGATCTCCCACACTTTGAGTTGCGTTTTCTCAAAACCAACTGTTTTTCAAAAATCCAAAGTGGGGAGGGGGTCGGATGTTCAATCGAGGCATCGGTCCCTGAGGACACGAGGAGGTTGGGCAGGAGGGGAATCTCCCACACTTTGAGTTGCGTTTTCTCAAAACCAACTGTTTTTCAAAAATCCAAAGTGGGGAGGCCATCGGATGTTGGGTTGGGGTGTCGGTCCCTGAGGACACGAGGAGGTTGGGCAGGGGTGGACCCCCCATCGGAGGATCGGTCAAGGTGTCGGTCCCTAAGGACACGAGAGTTGCCAGGGCATCCCGGACACTGAGGACACCGGATGCCAACGGAGGTCGAGATAATTAAACTGTTGAAAGTGAGATTCTGTTTAGGGTGGTGGATTCAAAATTTGCATCTGGCCCCAGGGACACAGCTGAAACCCCCTGCTGCATCGGTCACTTGGGACACTTGATGCCTTGGGGTCCAAATTTTTTGGGGTGGCCTCAACATTTTGAGTGGCCATCTCATCATGACCCCCTGGGGAGATCTGATTTCGATAGGGGTAGGCCCTGGTCCTCCTCCAATGAAGCCTTATTCGGAGGTCCTAACGGTTAAGCAAGGAGTAGTCACGGTTCAACTTAAGATCTGTTTGGGGTAGGGCATCTGATCACCATCCCATCGGCGAGTCTGGCCACTAAGGACACAGACAGGACCCGTCCCCCTTGGACACGTGACTAAGCACAGTGTACGGGGTTAGGGTTACATTGGTATGACAGTTGGCGGGCCACTCGGTCCCCTGACACAAGGACAACCGTATCGCACAACCATGGGGACCTCATTCTGTTAATGACAGTGGGATATTTGTTAGCTACCTGGATATTCACTCAATTTGAGCAGCCGAGCAGGATGGGTGGACCCTGAGGACACACCCATGGGCCTCTTCCAGGCTTGCCGTGACTGAGCACAGGCCCTCCTGATCAGCGGCAGTTCAGCTAGCTTTCTGTTGCTAAGCTGCTCTTTGGCTGCTCGGGTGGGTAGGGGGGCCTCATGGATACCCCTCTCACTCTTGAATCTCACCCCAGTCTAGGGCCTTGGGGCGTCAGACGCCTGGCCAGCCTGTGGCAGCTCCAAGGAGGGGTTAGGTTGGCCTCTTTTGTTTTAGGCCCCCCTCCCGGGTAACGGGGGTCTAGGCAATCCTGTGCTTCTCTTGATCTCAGCCAGGACCCTGCCGGACCCCCTTCCGGTCCCCACCTCCTGTCCTTAGAGGGGTCTACCCTTGGCCAGTCAGGGCAGTGGCTGCTCGTAGAGGCCACAGTGCTAGCCCTCCTGGCCTCAGGGCTTGCCCTCTCTTCGGTCAGGCTCTCTCCCAAGGGAGGGCTTCATTAGGGGGTAGTGGGTATACCGCACTAGCCTCGCTATTCAGCCCCCCAGTAGAGGCCACAGTGCTAGCCCTCCTTCCCTCAGGGCTTGCCCTCTCTTCGGTCAGGCTCTCTCCCAAGGGAGGGCTTCATTAGGGGGTAGTGGGTATACCGCACTAGCCTCGCTATTCAGCCCCCCTGTGGGCTCGAACGGGGCACCCTAAAGGGTGGGATGGACCTCTTTCTGGGGCTCCAATGGAATCCGTTGGCTCCCCGAGATTCGGTCCACCTGACCCCCTGTCTGGTCTCCTGGGCGGCTGCTCGTAGAGGCCTGTCCCTAGGTTCCCCTCCTTGGGGTCACCCCTGGCCCTCCTGTCGTACGGTCTTTGGACCTCCAGACAGGGTTGGCCGTACAATGTTGCTTCCCTTTGGTCCGCAAGGCTGGGATGCTTGGTAGGCTGGTTTTTCATCGAAGGCAGTCTTAATTATAAGGTGAGTAGAGTTGTTGACAGTCTCATAAAGTGTCTTGCAGCTTGAGGGTACTGTTCATCGTCAAGGTTAGGGTGCAGTTTAGGATGGTTTTCATAAGACCCTAATAGTTTTACTCATGTGTTCTAGGTTGAAGCTACTTTCATTCCGTCATTTTCAAGTTGGAGTGACCCATTGCAATCTTTAGTAATGGTGGTTGTTAATACTAGCTACTCCATTTCTTCAAGGACTTGTCAGAGGGTTAATTAAATAAGGAGCTATGGCAGTAAGGAGTTATTAAATTAAGGTGGTGGTAGTATGAGCATAATTTATTTCAAGGGATTATTGTAGTAAGGAGGTTCATTATTTGAAGGGGTGACGATATGTAGGAGGGCTCACTTAAGATTATGATAGTAGGAGGGCTCACTTAAGATTATGGTAGTAGGAGGGGTTAACATTAGGGGGGTCTTTAAGGGTATTGTTAATTAGGGTATTGAGAGTAGGGGTATAATTTATTAAGGCTATTCTTTTCAGGACAGTGGTTTTTATTTTTATATATTTTATAATAAAAGGTCTTCAACCCTGAAGGTTTGCCCCTTGGGCCCTGGGCCTCTGGCCTGGGGCCTGGGGGGCACCTGCCCTGGGCCTTTGGGCCTTTGGCCTTTGGGCCTTGGGCTTTTCGGCCCTGAGGTCCGCCCTTTGGCCCGAGGTCCTTGGGCTTTTTGGCCCTGAGGGCCTGCCCTTGGGACCTGAGCCCTGAGGCATTTGGCCTGGACCTGCCATTTCCTTCGGGTCCTAGGCGTCTGCCTTAGGGCCTAAGGCCTGGGCAAGGGTCTTCGACCTAGGAGACCTGCCACTTCGGGTCCACCTGTCCCAGTCGGCTGCTCGTAGAGGCCTAACCTGGGGTTGTCCCCTAGGGGTAGGCTCCTCCCCCTT